GGGGGGGGGGGCAATGGGGGAAAAAGGGAAACATCTGTAACACCTTTAACAATAAAGATAAACTTTTTAAAAAAGCATATAATGTTGTCCTGGCTGGTGTGGCTCAGTTGGTTGGAGTGTCATCCCAGACACAGAAAGGTCATGGGCTTGATTCCCAGTCAGGGCATATACCTAGGCTGTGGGTTCTATCCCCTGCCCCAACTGATCAATGTTTCTTTCTCCCTCTCTCTTCCTTCCCCTCTCTCTAAAAAAATCAATGAACATGTCCTCGGTTGAGGATTTTAAAAAGCACAGAATTTTAGAGCTGAGTAGCACATTCCAGTGCAGCACAGATACATACTTTTACTAGAAATTTTTGCTCATGGATTATTAAATATTCAATTTTATTTTGATGAAGTATTAAATGGAGCTCCTTAGGAAAAAGAATACTTGCCTATATTATCTGTTGAAGCCTACCGCTTCACAACCAGGAGAACAAAGGTGAGTGAGCTAAGATTCTGTAGCAAAAACAATGAATAAAAAGGGAATTACATTATTAGGGTAGTACGATTTATAACTGATTCTTCAATGTATTACAAAATATTGGAGTCATAGAAAATGAAAGAAAACAGAAAATAACAGCTGTGGTAACACTGTCCACCTTAAGAACTAACACAAACAACAGAGTTGGAGCCGCAGGTGTGAGGAGAGGGGGCAAGAACAGCTCAGCCTCAGACAAGTTTTAAGGAGGTTTGAACAGGACCCGGAGGCGCTGCCAGCAATTGACTATGATTTTTAATGGGGCAATGAGGGAGACAGCAGGTGGGCAGTGACTACCTTGGGTAACATGGTAAATGAAGCCAAAAGTAGAGGTTTAGGATGTAAATCAGGCACAGTCTACCCAGTGCACCCGAGGCCAAAAGAGCTGGAGGCATAGCCTGCTTCTAGCTGTCAAACCCAGCGAGCACCAGGTCCAGCCCTATGTGATAAGCTCAACTGTCACTCTGGGACTAGCCTGCTGAAGACTGTTTTACCCTTCCCTAAACAAGTTGACCTTACACAAAATTTGGGAAAGGATAGCACGTATCTTGGCTATTCTCCTACTTCCCAATTTCCTTTTCCCCCGGTGCCTTCAGGTTCCTCTCTAGCTGCCAAACTTTGTCATCATCAGAGCTTCCCCATGCTCCAGCAGCCTAACAGCTCATGAAAATCAGGTAATACAAGTAAAACACCCTGTACTGTGCCCAGCATACACTAAAGCTCAGTGAACGTGAACAGCTGCTATCATCACTCTCACCACCACAACTCTCCATTCCATTCCCGCCCTCCCCCTTGCTCCTAGTCGGACTTTCATTTTCTTCATACCAGACTAAGAAAAGCTATCTGAATATACTTGGACATGGATATTTATACTGTCTTTTCCTACAGGCAAGGAGCTACATTAGGTTGGAAAATACAAGATGAAAATATTCTGTCTTCTCCAATGTGGTTCTTCTTCCAATTCCTCTTCTGCCTGCTTCCTGGTGACAACTGCCTTTCCTCTGTTACGGCCACCAGAATCTGTTCTCTTTGTTCATTAATACATCATTTGCCAAGGACCCTATCGACTCAGTTCTAAATCACTAATTCCTTTGTGTTGACCTCTCTTCTTTCCAATAATTCTAAACCCTGACTACACATAGGAATCACTTGTAATATATATGTAATATACAAAAATGCACATAGCGATGCCCAGTCTAGACCAACCAAAGCATCACTGATGGGGTTCAAGCGTGGCATTTTTAAGAGCTCCTAATGGGATTTCAAGGTACAGCCAGGCAGGGTTAAGAATGACTCTTAGCCTCTTCCCTTAAATCATTTACCATGCTTGAAGCATTGAATACACCATTTGTTTGTCCAGTTCATTCACTGAGCAGCCACTGACTGAGCTCCTAGTGTGGGCCCAGCCTGGAGCTACTCAGAACTCTCCAGCAGCTGTGTAGCATCCTCACGATCCAACATAGGTTTCTGACCACTGCATCATAATTCTCCTCTCTTCTCTGTCATCAACCTTTCAACTTCTGCCCAATCTTCCTGCCCTCCCTCCCCCAAGCAAGCTTGCTTTTTTTGTGACTGCTCTGGGACTTCCAATGGCATCTCAAGTTTTTGGTCAAACCAATCCTATGGCATTTCTGCAAATGTATGAGAGAGGAGACCGCTGAGGTTCACATGTGTCTTCCCCACTCACTCAAAAGTCCCCAAGGGGAAGGACTGTATTCTATTCATTTCTGCATCCTCAATACTTAGTGTACCGTTTCCAGCACATGGTGAACTACCCAGCGGGCATCAGTTAAATGCAGAGGAGGATGAGTGAATAATTAAGGTATATGATACTACAGTGTTTTCTGAATCACCAAACAGCAAAATATGTGAGGGGGAAATAAAAAAAAAATCTTCTGTGGTATGATGATGATGAAAGCATGCACTTTGGGATCTAGACCTGCCACATGCTAGGTCTGTGAGCCTAAGGAAGTTATTGAACCTCTCTGATCCTCAGTTTCCCCATCTGTAAAATGGTGATAATAATAGAAATCACCTCATAAAATGATGTAGAATTAAATGAAGTAAAGAAGTCTGAGAAGTACCCAGTGTATATACAGTAAGATGTGATAGGCAGAAAAATGGTTCCCCAAAGATGTCCATTTCCTCATCCCCAGAACTTATGAATATGTTACCTTACGTGGCAAAGGGGACTTTGCAGCTGTGATTAAATTAAGAACCTTAAAATGGAGAGATGAATTTGGATTATCTAGGTAGGCCTAACATAATCACAAGGGACCTTAGATAGGTCAAAGAGAAGATGTAACAAAGGAATCAGAGGTGGAATGATTTCATTGCTAAAAGGAGGCCACAAGCTAAAGAAAGAGATCAGACACTAGAAGCGGGAGAGATCAAGAAGTCAAAGGATGTAGCAAATGCAGTCATATTAAATGCTTAGATGACAAAAAAGAGATTCCAATTAATAATGCAAGTTTCTACCATAAAAAATTTTATAAGAGAAAGGAAAATAAAGTTAAAACAAACAGAAGAAAGTAAGTAATAAAGGTAAGGGTAGAAACCAATGACTTTGAAAATAGAAAAAATAGGAAAAATAACTGAAACTCTAAGTTGGTTCTATGGAAATGTCAGTAAAATTGATAAACCTCTAACAAAGTTACACACACACACAAAAGAGAGAGCGGCGGTGTGGGAGAGAGAGAAAAGATACTAAAGGTTATTATCATGATTGGAAAGAGAGATATCATTACAGACCCAACAGACAATAACAGTATAATAAAGAAATATTATAAACAACACTACACATAAAATTTCAAAAACTCAGATAATTCACTGAAAACAACAAACCACCAAAACTTACCCAATATGAAATATATCACCTGAATTGTCCTATAACTATTAAATGAATTAAATCCACAGTTAAAAATCTTCTAAAAAAATTCTTCAAGCCCTGATAGTTTCATTACCAAATTCTTTTAAAAAGTAATATCAATTCTCCAAATATTTTCCAGAAAATAGAAGAGGAAAGAACACTTCCTAACTCATTTCATAAGGCAAGTACTACCCTGATATCAAAACCAAAGAGTATAAAAATACGGAAAATTTCAGGCCAATATCCTTCACTTACAGACAGGGGTGGGGTTAGGGAAGAAATCCTCTAAAAATATTGGCAGACAGTATCCAGCAATATATAGAAAGAAAAATACAACATAATAAAGTGGTATTTACTGTGGGAATGAAAGACTGGCTCAATATTTGATAAACAATATTAACACTGAAAACACATGATCATATCAACTGATGCAGAAAAAGCATTTGAGAAGATCAACATCCATTTGTGATAAAACTTTCAGCAAACTAGGACTAGAAGGAAACTTCCTTGACCTGATAAAAAGCACCTACAAAAAACTTGCAACTAACATACTTAATGGTGAAAGGCTGATGCTTTCCTCCTAACATCAGGAAAAAGACAAAGTTGTCTGCTCTCACCACTTTTACTCAACATTGTACTGGACATTCTAGCTAACTCAATAGCACAAAAGAGGTAAGATCCACACTAGATAGCAAGAAGTCAGGCTGTATTTATTTGCAGACAACATGATCATCTAAGTAGAAAATCCAATAGAATCTACCAAAAAGCTACTATTCCTAATAGGTGAGATTAGAAAGTTTGTAGGATATAGGATCAACATAAACAATTTATTTCCATTTATTTCTATATATTGTCAATGAACAATTAGAAATTAAAATGTGATAAAACAATACCATTAACCAACATTATAAAAATATGAGCACTTAGGGATAAATTTGATAAAGGATATCAAAGGTCTGTGCTACTAATATTACAAGATACAAAGTTAAAATACAAGTCAACTGTTTCTACACACTAGGAATATACAACAGTAAACCAAATTTTTTAAAAAAATTAACAATAATATAAAAAGGTAAATACTTAGTTATAAATCTAACAAAACATGCACAGGTTCCCAATGCTGAAAACTGCAAAATATTGATTAAAAAAAAAATGAAGAGCTAAATAGAAAGTGAGACGTAACTTGTTTATGGACTAGAAAAATCAACATAGTAAAGCTCTCAGCTCTCCTCAAGTTGATTATATAGATTTTAACAGGGTTATTTTTTGTAAATAGAAACAGGGCCTGTTCTAAACTTTGTGTGGAAATGCAGAGGAACTAGAATACTCAAATAATTCAGAAAAAGAGCAGTAAGGTCAGAGGAATCACAGTGCCCTGCAACATGACTTACTACAAAGCTACAGGCAAGAAAACAATTTGACAGTTTCTTATAAAGTTAAACATACACTTACCATATGATTCAGCAATCCCACTCCTGGGTATTTACCCTAGAGAAATGAAAACAGGTTTACACAAAAACCTATATATGAATGTTTATAGCAGCTCTTTTCATAATTGCCAAAACCTGAAACAACCCACTTATCCTTCAACAGCTGAATGGATAAACTGTGGTAATACATACAATGGAATACTACTGAGCAATAAAAAAGAACTACAGGTATATGTAACAACTTGGGTGAATCTCACAGGCAACTGTGCTGAGTAAAAGAAGCCAGTCTCAAGACATTATATACTACATGATTCTAATTTTAAAACATTATGTTATTATTTTATAACATTATCAAAAAGGCAAAACTAAAGTAATGGAGAATAGAACAGTGGTTTTCTGGGATTAAGGATGGGACAAGGGTGTGATTATAAAGATATAATCAAGGCATAATTATAAAGGCACAAGGGAGATTGGGGGTTGATGGAACTGTCTGTATCCCCATGTGGTGGCTGTTATATGAATCTATACATGTGTTTAAACCATAGAGCTGAATTCCAAGCATCAATCAATTTTACTGCATGATAATTAAAAAACACACACAACCCAAAAGTCTATGCTGAATTTAAAAAGGCTTGCTGGCTGAATGTAGCTCAGCACTGTCTTTCCCCAAAGGAGATGCTCAATTAACATTTGCCAAACAAAACCACTGAAAACTGGCTGTATTTTCTGCTTCAATATCAGTCTCATTTATATTCCTAAGCTTCAAAAATTTCAATAAATTTTTGTAACGTCATGAACATTTTCTACAATGGTATCTGCCACAGACGTATATATAGTTTGCACAAAAACAAATCATTAAAAATGCCAAATGAAAGTCAGAAATCTATATTTCCCAACCAATTATTTTAAACTTTAAAAAAGTTATCATTAATAACAAAAACTTTTTCTTTATGCTGTGTATGCTTATTTTCCACATTAAAAAAAAGGGGGGGATCTGTACTGAAATTACACAAAGGCATGGTATACTAAATATTTAATAAATGCTTACAGATTTAACTAATCTTTATTAAACATGGGATGAACCAAACTGCTAAGCCATTAACTTATCTCAAACATTAACTCTTTTCAGAATTTATCTTTTTGTTTGAGTTAGCAAAGCCGACTGTTAAAATTTATTTTTGTTCTTTCTGGCTCAAACCAAGATGTACACTCAGATCCCTAACTCATGTCATTTCTATGTTAAATTTTCTTTGCTAGGAGACATTGGGCATGGGCCTGTAGCTCTTGTGCAACCAACGAAACCTATTAGGATCCCACCATGTCACTCCCTATATTGACCTGTCACAGGTCTAAGGCTCACTCACTGTGATCAATTTAACAAAGCAGATGGGTTAAATCACATGTGTGTGAATGAATGAAAGTAACCATTAAGGGGAAAAAAAGTCCATTAACTTTGGTCTTGCTTTGCTCTAAACTGTAAAAGTGTTCCCTGCTGGAAAATGATCAATAAGATAGGTGAGGTTTCAGAAGTACCCAACCTAAGAATTAAATACATTTTTAAAAATTCCAAGTATGTAATTTGTGTATACTTACAGTAGAGAGCAAGTACAGTTTTAATACTTCTTTTAAATTCCTGTTTGTTAGAGAATTACTTTAGAGCCTTCCACACTGCTTTTAAGGTATTCTTTCTGAATATTCACTTAACATATAATCATCTCCAATTTATCTAGGTTTAGGTCAACTTTTCAATAATATTTTTGAATTTTATAGCTTCAACAAATTAAACTATAAAGTATTTTATAATGGTGCTAAATTTACTCATTTATCCATTCTACAATACATGCTTTGATGCCACATTACACTATCATGTGCAAATAAAGCAACCTGGAATGCTCTTGTCAGTTAACCAGTCAAAAATAAATAAAGTTACCTATTACTATAATTGTACTACCTCACTGACAGATGACAAGGACCTAACCTTATCGAAGCACTCAATGCAGTAACTTTATTTTGTTCAGTCTGTGACTGGGATCATAAGCAACAATGAGTTCATTTAACTGTTTTTGAAAGAATGAACTGCTATGTAAAGTTGCCGCTTTCTACATTTTAGCTCTTAGGACGTTAATATTCAACATACTGATGAATTAGGACTACTATCTATTGTGAGCAAGAAAATAATAAAGGCCATTTGCAAAAATAAAGTTTATATAGAAATATACTAGTCCTCAAACTTCCAAATTTCCATGAGCATCTCACCCATTGGCTTTAATTGCTGTCCTCAGCACCCAACATTCACTGCTCAGTCCCTTCACACACCCCACCCTTGAACATATCATTATGGGTATAGAAGTTTAAACCAAAGACAGGCATACTCTCTTATAAAACCACAGGAAGGGTCGATTATCCTTCGGATTATGTTCACAAGGTCACACAGTTAACCACATCTGGACCATGCGGGCACATAATCAAATAAGGCTCCTGGAAAATATCCATTTAAGCTAAATGTGATGAAAGGGAATGAATGTCATTAGATTAGATTTACTTAGAGAAACTTTTTTGCCCCAACTTAACCCGAAATAAAATCCTAACTCAAATAAATTTAAAAACGTGTATGACAATCTAGTCTCAATATCATGGAGGTTACTGTTCCTTTAAAATATTAACAGTACTGGGAAAAACTTCACAAAAGAAGATTTTCTAAACGTGCAACCACAGAGGCAGAGTTAAGCATGTCAATTATGACAGAGCTGCATCATTAAGTTCACCTAGACAGAATGCTTCAAAATGATCAAAACCAAGGTTTTAGATAACACAGGTGTTCAAAGTTAGCTCCTCTCCCCAAGCCTCAACATTCCTAATATAGAATTTTCAGTAAAACTCTTTAAAAAACGTACCTGCTTCTGCAACCACCTTTCATGCCTTCGCTGTTTCCTTCGCAGGTTCTTCAACTTGCTCCTCTCCCTCTTACTGAGCCTCTGATTAATGGCCCCCAACGAAAAGCTGCCCGAGCCCAAGAAGTGCAGCGGGGACAGGCGCTCCTCCTGGTCCGAGGCCTCCAGCGCGCTCCTGCCGCCCGAGGGCAGGTCCACCAGGAAAGCCAGGCTGTCAGAGCCAGCGCGCTCCGCGTACGCTGCAGAAGCTTCCAGAGCATGCTGCAATTCTCCTCCTCTTTGTCTCTGTGCCTGGGTCTCACGCGGAGCCGCTGAAAACCTCTGCAGCGGCGTGTCAGGATCCAGGCCTGATGCCACGGGAAAGGGGCGGCCGAGCTTGCCAGGCTCCGACGGCGCCTCCCTCAGCCTGGGGTGGGCCGCAGTCTTACTCCGGATTTCACAGAACGTGGGCAAGAAAGTCAGCTTCTCGCTGACGCTCAGATCCAAGCTGTGCGATTTTCTATGGAGAGCTCTCCGGGGGCAGGTGGCAGCCCCAAGCTGGGGAACAAAAAGCTGGCATTTGGAGTCGGACGCTTTGAAGAGCAGCTTTTCCTTCTTGACCTGCAAAGGCGCCCACCCGACCTCCAGGCAGAGGGCCTCTGTTAGTCGCCCGGGCCCGTGACTCTTTTGTGCCATGGCCGAAGGCCTGCGGTTTCTGTTTCTGAAGGCGCCACCTGTGAGCAGAGTGTCCGAGCCGCCACCTGACTGAACTCTAGGATGTGGCGAGTGTCTGAGCGGCGGTGTCGTTAGGCGGCCCGCCCGCGCGGGCTGGCAGTCGGTCCGGCTCCGGGAGAGATGCACAGCTGCGCGCTGGCCGCAGGCGCATTTTGGAGAGCTGACAAAATTAAAGCCCCCGAGGCGGGCCCCGCAGAAAGGGCAATTCAGTTTTCCCACCGTCCACTGGGCCTACAGGTAATAAAGGAAGGTAAAGACAATGAGCTCACTGTAAATTCATCAAAAAGAATGGGAGTTGTGTTGTTTTTTTTAAGCAAACCACATGAAAGTTTCTATGCCACAGAAACGGCTGGCTTTCTGTTTTCTGATTAGTAGACAGAACAGTAAATGGAAACAAGCTTTCTAATAAAACAGAGATAAGCCGCTCCAAAGTTCTAGAACGATGCACATTGCACTTCATGCCCACTGAAACAATACTCTTAAGAATTCTAAATGAATCTCTTTAAACAAGAGGTTGAACATGGATACAGTGTGAACTCATGAAAAGAAAAATCCACTATGGAACCAGGAAGCACATCAGTCTACAGAGCTTAATTTGCAAGTAAAATCTCCCAGAAAAGTGTCTGTTTTGATACACTTCTTGCATACCAAGCACTGTGGGAGGGAACTTTCCCAACCGCCAGAATCAAGCTTTCCCTGCCTTTCTACATACAACCCAAACCTACTGGCTGCACACATCAGGTAGAGTATTTTCCATACTCAGATTCAAAACTGATGTGCTGGCTTAAAATGATCTTTTCAACAGCGAGAGTGGAACATCTGCAGTGTTCTGATACAGTTTGCCAAGTTCAGGACACTTATAAGCACCACAGTGGTGTTTCCGCAGGAAATCATTACAATGTCAGCATGGATGCAGGAACAGCTATCAAATGTTATTGTTTAATAACAGCAACAAAAAAATATTGGCTAGTAGGCAGAGAAAGACAACTATAGTTTTCTAAAAATCACATTACTTAGAGTTTTCTAAGAATTAAGTGTCTTGAATTGTGAGAAAGAATGACAGCATACTGTTAACAAGGTGAGTGCTTGCTCTTAAAATATTTCATTAGAGAACCTTAAAATGTGGTATTTTGATTTTTACTGTGCCAATACTTGATCCAGTTTATTTTGTGTGTGCATTCATGAGTAATATATATATAGGATATCTCATTCACTCAACAGATACTGTTGTAGGTGCTGGGGATACAGTAATAAACATAATATAAAAAGCCTTGACTTCATGGAGTTTATATTCTAGAAGGGGAGCGGGAAATTGACAAGAGTGCATATATGTATGTGTATAATGATTCATATATTTATATCTGTAAGATGAAGTTATGCACAGTTATAAGTCCTACGTATTACTTATAGTTTGTGTCTGTGTAAATTATAGATAGGTAAATACAGCAGAGAAGGAAGAAAGGAGGTGTGAAGAGTGGTAACAGTGAGGGCCAATGACAGGTAAGGCCAGGCAATGCCTCACTGAATCAAGGCCTTTATCTGAGGGAACAGGTGAGTATCTGTGGGAAGAGCTCTGAAGCAAAGGGAAGTACCAAGTGTGCACACAGTTCAAGGGCAGAAAAGTACCAAAGCACCAGGAATAGTGAAGAAGCCAGTGGGTGTCATCAGGAACTACACAGCTTCTGTGTGTTGCATGTGTTCACCACCCCAAGTCAAGTCTCCTTAGAAAAATACAATTTAAAAAAATAGTTACATAGCCTTTCATGTCTGTTAGAACAATGCATCCAAGAAAAAATAGCTCTCAAATAAGGAACAAAACATTCTGGAGGAAACATATTCCTAATCTCACTCCGACTCTAAGAACTTACCTTTTGTATTAGGCAGTTTATCCACTCTGGAAGGGCTTCTATGTTCATGTGCCACACACGACAAGCATCGTGATCATCAGCTGAGTCATAGCTATCCTGTTATATCAAAATGCATGATATTAGTTTTTACTAGTTTGGAATTTATTTCACAGATTTCATATTTAAATAAAACACAAAAATATAAATTCAACTTTAGCTAGGAAGGAAATAGACACTACCAGCCTCTTCACCTCACTCCCATCTCCAAAAACAAGCCCACAAAGACAAAAAATATATATATTCAGGGAATAACTACCTGTGAATTTAAAACAAAAAAAGCCCTCCATTTTATTGAGTTCATCAATTAAATTTAATATTTATTGGTACGTTACTCAGTGGACAAACCAGTGCTCTATTCTTTTTCCTGTGTGTTTGTGAGAAGAACAGTGCCATTCATGACAACTTTCCCCTGCCTTCAGTCTCTAATTTTATCTGGATCCTACTAATGACAGAATAAAGGAGTTGCCATACTCTCTATCAAGATGACCAAGAAAAGTGCAAAGGGGTGCNGTTGCCATACTCTCTATCAAGATGACCAAGAAAAGTGCAAAGGGTGAGGGGCAATCAAGTAGGCAGTGAAAAGCCCCAAATAAACAACAAAAAGCTACTAATGCATGCTAGATCACATTTCATTATCTTATACACTGTGCACAATGGCATTTTATACACCATAAACAATAATCAGTGCTAAACCACACTCAGGATTATAATGTTAAAAGAAAACTTTTGCTAAAAGGTTTGAAATTCTTCCAATTCTAATGCTTTAAAATCCACAGCACACTTTGAAAATATTTCACTGGCAAATAGGAAGTCTGTGGGAAGAGTTTATAGTTGGCCAAAGAAAAATGTTATAGACTTATTTGTGATGCCTGAACTCCAATTCTGGTCAACACAATGCAACTTTCCACGTCAATAGTGAGGCTGAGGAGAGAGGCCAGGCGATATGAAGAGGGTATTACTGAATGGAAGCAAGGTTAGGGAGAGAAGAGGAAACGCTAGGAATAACTTCCAGCTCAATCACCTCACTGCTCCCTAACACATGTCTCCTCACCAGAGTGTCGGGCAAACATTCCGAAGTTTATTTGATTATAGATTCTCACAAAATGGTAATAGGGAAAATTCACTCAGGCAGAGAGGGATTTAATTCTTGGTTTCAAAATGGCAAGGTGAGTACATATACCAGTGTATTCTCCCTTTTAAACCACAAACCTATAAAATATATTTAAAAATAAAAGAGTCAATAGCTAAACTAGAAAATACAGATGGGGAGATTTCAATGAACCAGAAATTGAGTGGAATCTCTGAAAGATTCATGAGGGAAACAACAGCATGCTGTATCTAGGTACATAATAGATAAGACCACACAGAGAGTGGTCCATGCCAAAGTGGTGGAGACGCGAAGCAAGAAGGGCTCTGGGAAACCATTAGAAGTGGAGTTGAAGACTGTGTGTCTCCAGCCAAGAGCAGTATTTGGGGCAGAGGGAAATAGGGCGACACAGCAGGATGGCTGGAAAGGCCAGGCAAAAATGAAAAGCATTTGCAGCTTTTCAGAGGATGAGCTATGAGGCCAACTTCTGTTCTCATTGAAAAAGCACCATGACAAATAAGGAGTGTGATGTAGATTTGTTTGTGCTAATAAGACATATCGCTAATACATATTGTTTGGTGTGTAGAGTTTTTTTGTTTGTTTTTTTTTTTGAAAAAGCAAGTGAAAGAGAGATAACACATTCTGTATTATGATATTAAAAGCATATACAGCCTAAAAGACAGTATTATACTTTTCTATGGAAACATATATATGTGCAAATATTAAAAAGCATCTAAAAGGAAACTTTAACTTTTCCATGGTTGTTTTAATGGGAGAATATATTATACTTGTAAAATTAAAATTTTACTTAAAAATTGATTCAAATAAAAATAAAATATTGAATCTGGCAATTCTAGAGTACGCAGTATTAGGCATGCTCTCACCATTACAAAACTAAAACTAGGCAAGATAAAAAAGGTAACAAGAGACAAAGATGGCCATTTTATAATGATAAAGGGGACAATTCATCAAGAAGATATAACATTTATCAATATATATGCACACAACCTAGGAGTATACCAAATATATAAAGCAATTACTAACATACCTAAAGGGAAAAACTGACAAAAACGCAATTTAGTAGGGGGCCTGAATACCCTGTTGGCAGCAACGGATAGATCATCCAAACAGAAAGTCAATAAGGAAATATCAGCCTTAAATGATACATCGGAACAAATGAACTTAATATTTTTAGAATTTTGCATCCCAAAACCACAGAATACACATTCTTCTCAAATGTACATGGAACATTCTCAAGGAGAGATCAAATCTGGGAGCACAAAACTAGTCTCAATAAATTTGAGAAGACTGAAATGATACCAAGCATTTTTTCCAACCACAGAGGTATGGAACTGGAAATAAACTACAAAAGCTGGAAAACAACCGATGTGTGGAGATTAAACAACATGCTATTGAACAACTATTGGGTCAAAGAAGAAATAAAAGATAAAAAAGTACAGAGACAAATGAAAATGAAAATACAACATACCAAAATTTGGGGGATGCAGCAAAAGTGGTACTAAGAGGAAAGCTTGTAGCAGAACAGGCCTACCTCAAGAAACATGAAAAATTTCAAATAATCTAACATCACACCTTAGGGACTAGAGAAAGAAGAACAAATAAAGCCCAAAGTCAACAAAAGGAAGGAAATGATTAAAAATTAGGGTGGGAATAAATGAAACAGGGAACAAAAAGACAACAGAAAAATTAATAGTTGGTTCTCTGAAAAGATAAATAAGACTGACAAAAGTCACTCAATATGATTCAACATACGAAGAGAATATGGAAGAAAAACATGAAGAACATTTCAACACACGTAGGAAAACCATCTGATAAAATTTAGCACCCATTCATGACAAAAACTCTCAGGAGACTAAGAACAGAAAGGAACTTTCTCAGCCTGATAAAGGACATCTTTGAAAAACCCACAGCTAAACTTGTAATGGTGAAAGGCAATTCTTTTACTCTAAGATTAGATATACAATGTCTTCACTCGCCATTTCTATTCTGCACTGTGAGGGTCCACATGAGAACATATGGCAAGACAAAGAAATAAAGAACATGCCGGTTGAGCAACTTCATACCCGCCAGGATGGCTACAATAAAAAATAAAAAAAATAATGAAGAAAACAGAAAGTCGGTGTTGTGAGGATGCAGGGAAGCTGGAACCCGCACGCTTGTAGTGGGAATGGAAAACAATGCAGTCGCTGTGGAGAATCGTTCCGTGGTTCCTCAGTAAGTTAAACACAGAATTACTAACTGGCCTTACAAATCTACTCCTGGGTGTGTGCCCAAAATAACCGAAAACACATGTCCAAAGAAAAATTTGTGCACAAATATTCACAGCAGCACTACTGACAACAGCCAAAAGGTGGCATATCCATATGATGAAATATCATTCAGCTGTAAAAAGAGATGAAATACTGATGCCTGCTATAACATGGATAAACCTGGAAAATACGCTAGATGAAAGAAGCCAGACGCAGAAGGTTCCATACTGCATGATTCCATTTGTATGAACTATCCGGTCAGCAAATCCGTAAAGACAGAACGACTGGCAGTGGCCAGGGTGTGGGGGCGGGGAGGGGCAGAGTGGCTGCTGAATGAGCAAGGGCTTTCCCCGGGGCGACGAAGTCAGGTTCTGAAACTAGACAGCGGTGACCGCTGCACAACATTGCAAGTTTCCTAAATATCACTAGTGGTAAATGTTACGTTTTGCACAATTTTTAAAAAGAACAAAATAACTTTTTTATTCACAGACAATATAATATGAAAAAATACTAAGGAATTCACCAAAAAAACTGTTAAATTAAAAAGTTAGCGTAATTTCAGTGTACACTGTCATTATACAATTTCTTGTATGCCGTCTCTCTGTATGAGGGGAGAATGAAAAATTTCACAATAGTGTAAAATACACAAACTACTTAGGTGTAAATTTGACACAATACATACAGGACCTATCCACTGAAAACTAGAAAACACTGCATAGAAATGAAAATAATCTCAGGACCCAAAAATAATAACTATAAAGAAAAAAATGATCAACTGGATTTCATCAAAATTAAAACCATCTATTCTTTAAAAGGCACCACAAAGCCTTAGGAAAAAAATTGTATATGACATTCATGTTATTTACTTCCAATATAATTTTACAAGTAAAATGGGATGTATCAACTATTAAGTTTATAAGTCTATGGTCACATAATTTTAAAAAACACACAAATATGTGATAAAACAAGTTCTAATGGGTGTATTTTAAGATGAATGATGAAACTGGAAGCAGCCCGATTTGAAGAACTTAAAGCTTTTGTAGTAGGGACATGACAGGTTATCTCCTTGGGAAAAAAATTAAATTGAAAATCAGAAAAACTGTATTATTAGGATTTTAAAAATCCTACTACACAGATTTTCATGTCTCAAATTTATCACATTGGGTGAGGAGGAAGGAAAGAGAAAGTAACTAACAATTTAACATAATGCTGCCAGAAAAATGTTGATAAAACATTTTGTACCCTGGCCCGCATGGCTTAGCAGTTGAGCATTGACCTATGATCCAGGAGATCAGGGTTCGATTCCCGGTGTGCAGGAGGCAGCCGATCAATGACTCTCTCTCATCATTGATGTTTCAATCTCTCTTTCCCTCTCCTTTCCTTTCTCTGAAATCAATAAAAAAAGTACATAAAAATATACATACACGTGTTTTTTTTTGTAGACGAAATAATCTGTTCAAACAGCAGGGGGAGCTAATGCACTATTATTTTATTTTTGTGTTGAAGGGTAGAGTGTGTTCAGTTGCTGTGTAGGAGAACTTCATTTAATTTTAAAATTATAAATGTTATACATTATCTTTTATCATTTAATGATAAGATTTTTAATTATGCAGAACACATTAAATGTAAAATGTTGACATAATTTAATGTTATTACCCAACGTTTTGAAAGATGTTCAACACAATATTTCCAAATGTTAGCAATAACATTCCCTTAGCTAATTCATTAAAAGTAAGCCAAATATATTATTTAGCTACTCCAGTTATAAACACTACAGGAAAAGAGCAGATAACAAAAAGGTCATTTAGATTAACATTACTAATTAAAAGTATTACAAATATACAGCAATCAAATTCTGTTAAACTGCTTGGTTTTTCTATTTGTATTTTGAGAAGGTACTTCGAAGGTGAAAACTTTTTATTCAAAAGGGAATGAATAAAAAAAAGAAAGAAAGAAAGAAAGCCTCTCTTAACAGCAGTCTCCCTGCATCCATTCTTGCTACCTTTCTAAATTCAATCTTCACACAATAGCCAAATGATCTTTTAAAAATTCAATGGTTATGTCATTCCTTTTCAGTCACTTCCCAGCTCTTAGGGTAAAGATCAAAGTCCTTAATGTGATGTACAAGACCACAAATGACCTAACCAATATTCATCTTTCTAGCCTCAAATCTTGCCACACTCCCTCTGCATCTCTCAACTCCAATCATGCAAATCTTATAGCTCCATGGATATACCGCATTCTCTCCAACACAGGGCCTTTGAACATGCTGATCCCAAAGCTTGGAATGTTTTCCATCCTGTACCACCCTTGATACTCACCCACCTCATCCCCACACAAGCCACTTCCTCAGAAAAGCCTCCCCCACACAACTAGGTCCAACCTTCCGTCTATATCCTATTCTTATGGCTCCCTATAGTTTTCGTTTTTGCCACCTAAACAGCTAAAATTTAATATTGATGATTGCCCACTATCCTGAAAGCTTCACAAGAATAGAGTACCTCCCTTCTGCTACTAGAATTCCCAGTGCCTATGACAGGACCTGCCATGTCTTAGTCTGCTTGGTCTGCTCTAACAAAATGCCACAGACTGGGACTCAAACAATAGACATACACTCCTCACAACTCTGGAGGCTGGAAGTCTGAGGCCAGAGTGCCAGCACGCTCAGGCTCTGCTGAGAGCCCTCTTCACGAACTGCGGGCCGCTGTGTCCTCACTTGTAAGGGAGGGAGGAAGTCTATAGCCATGGCCTCTTACCAAATTGAGATCCCATTCTTATGCCCTAATTGGCCTTATTACCTTTGAAAGACCTATCTCCAGATACAGTCATGTTGGGGTTCGGACTTCAACATATGAATTTGGGGGGAGGGGACACAACTTAGTCCCCTCTAGCAGGGGTAAGACTAAGTATGGACTAATATATGCTGATGCTAAGAAAAGGGCTCATAAAATATCTGAAATGTAATAAGCAAAAAATACACAATTTATTTCAATATTACAGCCATTGAAAGAAAGATGTCAGCAGGATAATAAAGCCGGAAAGAAAATGAGCAAAATACCCAGCTAAAAGATTAAGCAGGAAGTATATAATCCATAATCAATGCAACACCCATCGACCATAGCAATGGCCATCAGTTCATGTATCTCAGACTTGGTGTGGCAGGAGTTCCCTTTCCTCCCTGTAGACATAGATTCTTTCAAAATTCCATTCTAAGTTCCCTGTCACGTGCCTTACTACATGCCAGTGGCTGGAAAACTAAAGCTCAGATGTCCCAGGTTTCCTTACAGCTCAAGTTCCCCACATGACCCAGCTTCCCCCAACCTGACACACCTGCTCAGTATTATAAAAGCAGAGTGTTGACTGTACTTGCGCTGTTTCTTTTGGCAAACTTGGTTTTGGAGGCCCTTGGTTATTCTGCAGCAAACGTTACAGTAACTCCAGGTTCCCGTTCCCGGTTTTGTGGGCGATGTGAGGCTGAGTGTGAGACTCCCATTTCCTGGCATTGGACTGGGACAGAGAAGTGTGGTCCTGGAGCCAAAGGCTATGAGTGCTGTTTCCCAGCTTCCTAATCTTTAATGTTGTTCTGAGAGCCATTTCACATGTGCATGGCGTGTGGAACATGGGAGGAAGGTCCAGGGTTTGCTCAGGGTAGGGAGACGCAGGGGGGAACCCTACATACAGCTGGGCTGTAATCTCAGTATCAGGGTGACTGAGAAATACACATGCTGCTCAGGACGACACGGCAGGAAGCCTGCCTATCTAAACTTTGGTATTCAGTGGAAGGAAAAAAAAAATCTTCCCCTCAGGTACAGAAGAATTTCTTAAACAAAAAGTACAAAACATAAAGGACATGATTAATAAATTCACCTATATTATATAATAAACTTCTGTTCATCAAAAAAGACCATAAAGAGAGCAATACAAGTTATATAAACAAGCAAAAGCTGTTTGCAATACAATAACTGTGGGATTAGTATTTAGAATACAGAAAGAACTTCCAAAAATAAAAACAAAACTGCCTGGCTGGGCATGGCTCAGTGGTAGCGCATTGACCTAGGATACAGATCTCAGTTCGATTCCCGGTCGGGGCACATGCCTGGGCTGCGGGCTCAGTCCCCAGTTGGGAGCATGCAGGAGGCAGCCGATCAATGACTCTCATCATTAATGTTTCTCTCTCTCTCTCTCTCTCCTTCTCCCTTCCTCTCTCTGAAATCAATAAAGTTATATTTTAAAGAACTAAAATAAAATAAAAACAAAACTACCTAACAGAAAGAACAGGCAAGAAAAAAAGATATTTTACAGAAAACACAAATGGCCTCAGAAAATGAGAAGACAAAAGGGTGGGGATGAAATAATCATGATCACATGTGAATGAGGCAAAGCAACAAACCCAGCAACAGTGTCTCTCAAAGAAGGGGGAGGAAACAGCAACAGGGGAGTACAGCCCCTCTCTCTGTTGAACTGAGAACTCCGGGTAAAATCCACGGCCTGCTGTCTAGTCTGCACCTCTCTGATACTGCCTTCATATTGCTTAGGGGAGTTTAGGGATTTGATTTTTGTTGTTTTAAAAACACTTATTTTTAGCCCTGGACAGTGTGGCTCAGTTGGCTAGAGCGTCCTCCCATACACTAAAAGGTCAAGGGTTCGATCCCATGGGGGAGCTATCAAAGTTTCTCTCTCACATCGATGTTTCTCTTTCTCTCTCCCTAAAATAAATTTTTATAAAAACAAAACATTTGTTTTTATCAGGACAACCAGTTAAAAGTTTTTGAGTATTATTCAGGTGTTCTTATTGACTTTTCAATTATACGTGAACTTTCTCTTCTAGGCCCATACTGAATACTAAAAAAATACAATATAATAGGTTTTCCATTTCTTAATAGAATCTTGAATTTAATTGTTTGGTGATGACTAAGGTTCACTCACAGTAGGATTAAAAAAATGGACTACTATTACCTTTAACTTATTTCTATGATATTATACTTCAAACTTTAAGGTCATGTTAATGTGAGCAGCTAAAGATAAAATGAATCATCTCTGAGGAAGGTGGGATGCCTTCTGAGTAGCACTTTGAAATGTTTTCAGTGGGTCAAATAAAATTAGGTAAAGCTAAGTCAGGTGCATGTGTGAGGGCCCACAGCATCCCTGCACAGGAAACTAAAGACTAGAGAGGTAGCAGGACTGACCTTAATCACTTGATTCTCAAGATATTTCATCAAACAACCAGAACTTGCTATGCATTTTCTACATTTCCAACAACGAAGAACATTTATTTCTTCTTGATTATGATTTTTAGTTATCACTTCTTTACTTCTTTTCATCTGTGGGAAAACAAATTTAGTGTTAGATGTTAAACTGTGTCACATTAAACTTGATTCTCTAAATCCTTTGTACAGCATTAGCTACATGTGGAGCAGAGGAAGAGAATTATTATTTACTGAGGCATCTATCAGGGCTTAGGTGAGGAGCACTCGATAAACAATATCTGGGATTGAAAATTCCATTTAATTATTACGATGATGCACTACGTTAGTAACTACCAGCTTATTTTATTTTTGCAGAACAGACTATTTCTTTCCATCTGTTACTAAAAATGGTAAAAGGCAACAACTCCTGAAGATTCAAATAAGTTATTGCAATGGCTTTAAAAGAGTCATAATAAAGAAGTATAAATATCCCTGTAAACAAGACATTTTGAATAGCCACCGCATTAAATTTTAAGTATAATAGAATTTATTGAGTTGTGGTTAATTCTGTGAAAATTGAAACTTACTTACTTTAAATTGATGGCAAAAATCCCTTATACTGAATGCAGTAATTTCTCTTGTGTATTGTACTCGGTAGAATAATCAACTATACTCCGTCTTGTGGTATGTGTAGTCAAACAAATAAACTTAGAGAACAGACCTACCAATTTTATAGTCTATCTTGTGCAGGATACTTTATATCAATGATGTGACTTAGAGCAATTTATGAAACCAGTTTCACAGTAATAAGAATTCCAAAATAGATGCAGCGCATTTAATAACCGGCCTGGTGACTATTCATTAAAAAGAAAGGAGATGTCCATTTATCACGTTACCCACAGGCGTCTGCTCCTGCTCCCTGGCCACATTTCCTCATTTGTCGGCTCTTCCATTTTTCATGCATTCCACAAACACTTACCGAGAGCTAACCATACGCCACACAGTGCGTCAAACTCGGGGGGCACAAAGGTGGATCAATCTTATTTTCTCCCGCAGAAGTGCTATGCTATAGGATCAACTATCCTACTCCATTCGAAGCACTTAGGAAGCTTTGAAAAACAGTGATGGCGAGGCCCCTCTCCTAGAAATTCTGGCTTATTCTGAGATGAGGGAGGCGTTAGGAGTGGGTACTTTAGAAAAGTTCCCCATGTGAGTCCAGACTGGGGTCAGGGTGAGGGCAGAGATGCACCACATGNTCCCCATGTGAGTCCAGAGTGGGTTCAGGGTGAGGGCAGAGATGCACCACACACACAATGCAATAAAATGCAACAGCTAGAAGGACTGTATGACAGGAACATAGGTGGACCTTAACCACATTTAAAGGAAGGACCTAAGGAGCTGCCTGAGAGCACAGCACGCCCCCTGCAGCCAGTCGGTTCTGACCTTCAGAGGTTGCTGGGCGGCAGTTCTGTCTCCACTAACATCTTCGGAACCCACCTTAGCCCAGCTACCACTCTACTGGAACTTTGTCCTCGAGGATTATCAATAATATCTTTAACATTTAACATGTTTTTCTTTTTATTGAATTTCCTGGGGTGACACTGGTTAATAAAATTATACACGGTTCAGGTGCACAATTCTACACCACATCATCTGTACAGTGTTGAGTGTTCAGCATTATCAGTAATATCTCAATCTGCGTACGTCCTGACCTCCTCTGGCTTCATTATTGAACCCCCCCCCCCACTGGACTTCTTTAGCACTGCTTTCATCTCCCTGTTTCCCGAGCAGCTTCATTCTCATCTCCCTTTTAACCACCAGTGGTTCTCCGCCAGGAGTGGGGGCTGCAGGGAGGGGTCATACCAGAGTTAATGATGGAGAAACTCCATGTCTGCCTATGTTCTCCCCCTCCCTGAGCTCCACGCATACCTCCAAATTTCCACACCCACCTCCCAGATTTTTCTGTGCCCTCTTGGGTGCAAGCATGTCATTAGGAAGAGCCCTGTAGGTAAGATTCTAACAGGTCTTCTCTGCAAAGCACTGGAAAGTATACTCGGTGTGACAACTATTTTATATAAAAGGATTTTTAATCTACACATCTAGCTTTGATCTTACTCCAAAGCTCTAGACCAGTATTTCAATCTCCAGATGTTAAATACACATCTCCACAGGAACCTCTCCTCCAGGCAGCCGCTCATCAGATGTGCTGCTGAACACCTGAAATGTAGCTAATCCAAACGGGGATGTGCAGACTATAAAATAAACACTGGAGTTTGAATGCTTAGTAGAAAAAAAAGAATGCCAAATGTTTCAGTAGTTTTTATATTAATTTCATACTGAAATAATGGTTTTAATGTACAAAGTAAAATATAGTGTAAAAATTAATTTCATTTTTTTATTACTTTTTTAATGTGGCTACCAGAAATTTCTAAAATTACATATATGACTTGTATTATACTCCTCCTGGACAGCACTTGTCTAGACTTCCTGGCTCCAGGTCTTTCCGTGGTTGGCTTCCTTCCCATCATCTCCTCAGAGGTGGGGCACAAGCAGCACCTGAGGAGTTTACTTAAATGAAGGTCACAGGGCTACACGCACAGAGATTCTGATTCAATGTTTCTAGGGCAGGAATCTGCATATTTACAGGTGACCTGAAGACTACACTTTGAGACACCAACTTACAGAAGCTAGCCTAAGCTCCCTACTGTGTCAAAAAGGTCCTTTAGGTGGGACGGGTGTTCCTGTGATGGAACTGTTCTGCCTCCGAGTGTGGGGATGCTCACATGCATCTACACATGTGATAAAATTACATGGAACTAAATACACACACAAATCACATGTAACTGGTGAAATATGAATCAAGTCGGTGGAACGAAGGGTATACAGGGTCTTTCTGGGAATTCACAATTCACAATTGCATTTACAACTATCTCACAGTAAAAGTTAAAGAAAAACTTTACCACATACATTAAAAACTCAAAATCTTAGAGTCATACTATTTTTACCAATTAACTGTCCTGACTACTTGCATAATCCTCTATACCTATTTTTAGCTGCATATTTTTGTTTGCCTGTTACTATGACAATTTTGCAATATTTTTTACGGAGAGATTAAAAAGATGTCTTTTTTTTTTTTTAATTAAATGGCCCTCTACACCCTTTAAGACCTGACTCCAAACTGGTTCTCAAGTCTTAGCGTCCCCTCCAAGAACATACACACCAGCTCTATGCAGATCTCTGTGCAGTTCCCTAAAAATACCTTTTTCTGCTTTTTCTCTTTCAAATTGCTTCTCTCTCTTCCTGTAATATCATTTTCCTTTCTCCTGGTTTTATGTTAAGAAATATTTTCCATCCTTGAAGGCTGAGCTCAAATTTTTCTTTTACAGATGCTCCCCAGAGAAAAACACTCCCCATTCTGTGTTCCCGCAGTACTTTGAACACACCTGGACAGCATCACTGGTAATGCTGTACTGCACGTATCTGTGTGTATTTGTGTCTTAGTGATTTAACTGTGAGCTCCTAAAAAGCACCGTATTCCATTCAACTCTGTATTGTTACAATTAAACATGGTATCTGGTACCAAAAGAGACACTCAACAAATGTTTGTTGTAGTCAAATTAACATCTGGCAGAGAGCTCAGCTTACAAAAAGTCTTTTTCCAATACCAAGTGTTAAGTATGCTGGCCAACTACTGGGACCAAACAAGCAGAAGTCGTTTTGCAAGGGACGTGAGAAGTTCAAGGGAAGAAATGAAGCCATGCCTATACATAACTGAGCTTGAAAGCAGAACTATAAGTTACCCAATAGTGATATATTTATAGGGGAGCTGAAGTGGCTTCTGCCAGAGAACTTATATTAAAAAAGGTTAAATATGGTAAAGAAACCTACTAACGAAATGGTAGCCCTTGAATGGAATACAGCATGGCTGTTGGCTGCTAACTCAAATCATCCCCAACTCAGCACCCAACACGCTAGTACGGGTTTTAGGAAGAGAGGGAACGGTATAAGTAAACAACAGGAAAGTCAGATTTCTGATGGGATCTAAGCAATTTGGGGCAGCATACACCACATGGCTTTAACACCCTGAGGAGCTGGGGCAGCAACTAGAGAACTACTGAAGCAAAAACGTCATCTTGGGAAACAATACAACATAACAGGAAAGTGAACTTATTGCTTAATGTATATGGATGCCTTGCATTGCTCAGAAATACTTGGAGGGACTCTGCAGGGGGCTGGGTTCTGCGTCAACAGAGGTGTTTAACAAGCTGTAAAATTCTGGTATTATGATTCCTATGACTGCTGTGGAACTTATGGGCTTATAAGGCCTAAGAAATTCAGGTACAGTCATCTTTTGCTTTTCTCTCAAATTCAGTTCCTCATCTCTTAGTCCAGTTCTGATCAGATCAGATACATACATGCATTTTTCAAAGATGGAGGGCTTCCCTTGGACCCTAGCTCTTCCCACCTCAGTCACAGTCTTTGTTATGGTGACCTTATCTCCTGCCCCACGGCTGGTCTCCAGGACCACACCAGCTGCTAACATCTACTTGACATGCTCCATAGCGCCTGTTCATAGAGTGCCCCTTGCAGCACCTCACTACCTGTCCTAATGTCCTTGCCACTTTCTGGTATTTCCTCAATGCACTGGGCTTTTAGAAAATAATGTTTTGCTGACTTACGGGTAATCTCCCAAGTTGATACATTTCACATTTCATTACAGAATATCAAAAAAGCCACATTTCTTACTATCACCTCCAATCCCAGCAAAAAATGTTTTTAATTACTGGGCAGTAATCAAATTTATAGTGGTAGATGCAAGTTTTCTAAAGTGCTAACTTTTGTTTAAAGCTCAGATTTTATCACCTGCAACAAATAATGCCAAATATCCACGACTGAATATCTGAATAACCATAGTTTGTCAATAATTCAAGTAAAAACGGTGTGCCACAGACGGCGGATGGTTCAGCTTTCAACTCAAACAACTGCACAAGGGCTTTGCCTCAAGACTACCATCAGCCTCAGTGCACTGCAGAAGGGCTTCGCGCTCCCTCTTCAATCTTGGAATGGGCCAAGATAGAAAAATCTAACATAAAGTAAACCTCGACATAGGGACTGTGAACAAAGATCTGGAGATACCTTTTTAAAGAATTTTAAAGAGAGTTTATTCAGGTAAGGATCTGCAAACCTGGAAATGAAGTCTTTGATATTCTCGGTATGAACTGAGAATATGTTCCAAAATGGAAATACCTTAGGGTTTATAAGGCACAAGTTGCAAAGAGCTATTGATCAAAGAGATTGGTTGCTAGGGGCAACAAGATTATAAACTCACATCACTCGTTTTCTGATTGGTGGGAGCAATTCAACTTTCAATAGTTGACTGACTCAGTGAACAAGGAAGTGGGGCTGGGAGGTGAGAGCAAGGAGTTACCAGGAGAGAACGATACATATATAATGAATGAACGAAGCCTCATGCTTATCTCGGCAAGACCCAGTTTCAGCCCAGGCCTGCAGAACAAAAAGGCTGTCTTTGATCACACAATCATAGCACAGGGAGTATTATTTAACAGTGATGCAAGGAGTACAGTTTATCAGGCAGTACAATCAGCACAGGGGAGGCTGCTGGCCGTTCCGGAGCCCAACAGGGCAAAGTTATTCTGTGCAGGCAGCTTCAGAGCTCAAGCTGCAAAAATTCAAATTTGGGGTCACGAGTTATGATATTAAAGTTCTCA